GATTGCTAATCAGCTCAATTTAGTCAATAATTGTATAGATGAGTTTGGATACTCCATTGACATGTCAAAAGTTAACATGGTTATGTGAGTAAAGCTATGCATATATGGAAAAGTTTACAGGACAAATACCATATACCCTAAGAAACAAATATAAATTAAGCTTTGGGCACTACTTTTTTTGTTTGGGTATTTTATGTAGTTCACTCATATGTAGGTGTCAAAAATGCCAAGATTATCAGATCAAATGTATGAATGATATTTTCCATTAAGATTTCAGTGGAATGTAAGAACATCAAAGCAATGTGGAAACATAAAAGCTGAAAAGCAATTAACAAGTTTCCCCCCTGGAAACAAAAATGCACAGTCTAGATTTTTTAAATCTGAATGGAGAAGAGAAAAATCATTCACTCTGCTGAAGCTGACTTGAAATTTAGGAGTTGAAAAAAAGTAGGTGTCCATTAATTCTATGTAGAGAGACAAATTTCATTAAGTATGGTTTATAGGCTTAGATGGTTATATAAAAATTTAAGACAGCATACTCCTCTCATCCCTCTAATATCAATAGATTTACATAGAAATCAGGAGTAGAATAGAAACTAGACTTTATATTCTTATCCTTATATTTGTTCAGTAACTTACTGCTGCTTTCAGCATCAGTCAGCATGAAAATCTGTTCACCTTTAGATTGTTGATATATCTATTATTGTTCTACTTCCTTTTTCATCCTCAGAAGATTAGCTAAGCAGGGAGTATGTGAGTGTGCTTTGAACAAATGATTTTACAAGTGAAGGAAGAAGTTCAAATACCTTCACTGACTTTTCAAAATCCTTTAGCACTGAACTATAAAACCAGAAGGAAATGTATGCTTCCTGGACCCCAAATTTCAACTAATTTTATGCTTCATTATAAGCAGCAAAACCAAGTCAGTCATTTATTTCATTTTTTTTTTTTATGCATGACCTCAGTTTTTCTCCTAATCACGTTTCACTGAACTCAAAAGAACACAGGAATCCCAAGGCCAGATCTTAGCTTCTGTCATACTCTTGTACTGGGGAGTGTCAGCATCTGGAGGTTTTTGTGATACAGTCACCACTGGTTGATACATTTCTTCACTTACTGGGAGTCTGAAGGCATTAGCAAATTTGGAAGACCAGATAGGGTGCAGGTTTTACCTTGCCTCTCTCACAAAAAGAGCACTAGCAACACCACCCATCAGTATACTAAATCTAACTGTTGGTTTATATCTTGCAGAGAAAGTAAGCTATTCATTTCACAGAGGGCTGGGGATATGCATGGTCTCTCACAGAGGGCTGACAAGTCCAACTAAAAAAATCTAAATTTAAAGTGACTCATGAAATAACTGTTGCATCCCTGACATAGGTATGTGTCAGCACAGACACAACTCTTCAGGTACACATCAGCCCTCACCTGTCTGTAGACACACAACTCCACAGATCTGCCTCTTTGTTCTGCTGAAAGATGACTCCTTTACTTCACCCCACCCATTGTACTAATGCACCTGGTCTGGTGCTCCTAACCATATGTGAACTACTCTGGGTGGAAAGCTGGTTGCCTAGGCAGAATAGACAGCTTCCTAGCCCAGTAACTCCTCCTCCTCCCCTTCCTCTTCAGCCCTTATAAGCATCCTAGCTCTTAGTCACACAGGCTAGATGGTTTCCAGTTCCCAGTCACTGACCTTGTGTTGCTGACTGCTTGATAAAGGAGTTGCTTGTTTCATGCACTGCAAACAGAAGTTAAATTTATTTTCTATAGTCTAGTAGCATCTCAAGACCCCACTTAAGTATTCATAACTGTAATACATGTAATTAAAATGAATTTACAATGGCAGGGAGAAAAAGTGGACATAGAAAATTAATATGGACTGCAAGAGGGAGAAGTCAACCACTAAATCTTCATGTTTAACAGCAGTCTCAATATGGCTGCTATCTATCCATTGTTTAGTATCTTGTAGCCTTCCCTGTATAGAAGTGTTTTAAGAAAGGTTCCAAAACAGGATAAGATCGTTTACAGATTGTTGTGAAGCAGTACTCCCAAACACATGGTATAAAATGGAAAAATGGTTGGGGGGAAATTGTCCTAAAGGATGCGAAGGCTGGCAGGGGAGTTGAGAACTTTATGACACAGGAAATACAAATGAGATGGAGCGTACTTAAGTATATTTGAGTTTGCTTTAATTTAGCAAGCCTAGGTGACAGAGACAATACAGTGGCATGGGTTAGCAACCTGAGTGCATACTTGTAGAACTTGCTCTGAAATCTGTGGGATTTCAGGGAAGGCATTAAAAGAGGACAGATCAGTCTAGAGATATGTGGTTCAATGTTCTCCCTCTATAGCATCCACTTTGGCCACTCTCAGAGACAGGATTCTGGGCTACATAGACCATTGGTTTGACCCAGCATGGCATTTTGTATGTTCTTACATATATCACATCTCCTTTAAATTTTTAGAATTAACACCTCACATAGATTAACAGAAAATAGGGGATTTTTCCTTCTCAAAGCCACTGTTTCAGCTTGTCTGAAGAACCAGGCAAACAAGATGGCCTGGCTTTCCTACATGCTTGAATAGCTTTCAGCCAACCACAAGGACTAGACACGCAGTTCATTAGTAAGGTTTTTTAATGAAAGCTGAGATTGTGCAGACTCTGAACATACCATATGGCTTTTAAGAAACAATGACAGGGCTGACTGTCTATATAATTACCTCAAAGTAAAAGGGAGTACAGAGCTCTGCAGCCAAGGGTGAAAAAAAAGAGCTTGTCTATACTAGAAAATTTGCACCAGTATAACTGAACTTACTTAGTTGAAACACTGCAATCCTGCATGTAGACAGACATAAATCAGTTTATCCAACATCAAAATCAGTACAGATTACATCAGTAGATTACAGAATTAAGTAAAGTGTTGTTTTTTTTAAGGTTTAAACCATGTCCAGTACATCTTCCTTTCTTTTTTGAATCGCTTTAATGAGATCAGTTCAGAATCAATTTAGTTAAACCAGTGCAACTTTGGTAATACAGACGAGGCCTCAAGCCAGTGGAAAAGTGTCAACTTCACGAATACATCCAGAACTTTCTTTGGTACCCTCAATAGCAATCTTACTCAAAGGCTAAAGGAAGAGTAGGTATGGACAATGAACTGATTAGGAGTAGACTAGCTAATCTTTCAGTATTGTTGTCCATCTTACACATCTGCTACAGAAGTTCCTTTATGCAGCTGGGCAGAAAGTTTGGCTAAAAGAGTTATATGCTGAGAAATAGTTTCAACAATATAAAAATGTGTCACAGGGATGTAGCAGTTTCAATTACTTTTTCTAGGGGGAAAAAGGCCAGACTGTATTTTTGGTTTTGTTTTTATTTTTTTTGGTTGGGGGGCGGGGGGCGGAAGGTGACATTGTCAAAAACCTTATTCTTCTTATGGAGTTTTAGAGTATATTAAAAGATTAATTTTACCATTTATTTGAATACTATATATAATATTATGCCCTCCTCTATTCTGCCATCATATTAATATTAAATGCATGTTATTAAAACATTAAATATTAACATGTAATATAAAAGTTGAAACAAAATATCTTAACATTATTAAAATTTTATTAAATGGCCCAGGAGGCACTTTCCAGTCTTAGGTCCCTAAAATATTGACATAGTCCCAAAACTAAAGTTTTCAGAATGCTCATTTCACATGACATTTCATAATTTGGCTTGAACTTTTGTTAACTGGTGGAATATTAAACTTATATTTTTGTTTAGGTTCTAACTTCTGATGCAGTTTTCATTATTAGTATATCTCAAAGTGCTTTACAAGGTAAGCAAGAACCCTTTTCCCTGTTTTTACAGGGGGGTTTCTTCATCAAACACTGACATGCTAAGTCAAAGTCTGTTTACACTGCAAATAAAGGTATGATTGCAGCTAGCTGAGGTAACAGTGTAGTGAAGACACTGTAGTATATCAGTACAGGGAGCCTGGCTAAGTATTTGAATTTCTAGTCTTTGTCACTATATCTTCATTTTGCTGTTATCCATACTATCTAGACAAAGGGAAACCTATTCATGTTGCAATTACACCTTCGTTTTTAGTTTAGGTATATCCTAAGAAGCTGATTTAAAAATAAATGCATTTAAAGGATTTTAAGAGACCTTTAAACAGGTCTATATAGCATTTCTAAAATAGGTTTCTTCAATATATGGGCTTGTATAGAACACACAATGCGGACCTGGAAAGGCTGGAATTTTCCAATAAACTAAGGAGATTTAAGTGCCCAGCTCTGATTGAATTTAAATGGGATTTGGGTGCCTCTCTTCATTAGGTTCCTTTGAAATTCCCATCCTTAAAGAAGCATCTGCTTGAGGTGAACTGAAAAACTCACTAACAATC